TCTTCCCCCCCCCCCCCTCGCTGCTCTTATTTCAGCCAAGCTGGAGTTCTACCTCTGATATGTCATATATATATAACGTCGACAGAGATAAAATCAGCAGATCCTGTTCCGGGCGATTGAGATGCTCCTGATAGGAGGGGAACAGGCTGGCAAACAGACGTGATATCGAAAAGTTACTAGAACCGTCTTACCGATACTTATCTAGTAACTTTCTATAGACCTTATGGTCGATTCACTGTTTAAAGCCAATGACGACACGTCCAGATGGCGCAAGCGCATTATTCCCTATGGGTCAAAGTTTTTTTTTTTTCTTTTTTCAGGTAAACGGTGCTGCTGGGGTATGAAATTATTAGAGTATCCGGTGAATATTTTATAGGGAAATCGATTTTGCATTATCTTTTCTATAGCGTAACTGCATATGGTATACTTATAATTCCCAGATAAAATTTACGTCACGAGCAAGTGGATTTTAACAAGAGGTTATGGGATATTTAAAAATTCAAAATTTGACTTTGATAATTAATGAAAGTCTGCCGTCTTAGAAGAGAACCTACGGAGGCACTGACTAAGGGAGATATCCAATAAAATATATCTGCCTCGTCCGGATGTTTTGATACCTGCCAAGACTAACTGGATATAAATTGATTTTGCCCGGAGGCGTTCATCGGATAATGAAATTAAATCGCTCGAGTCAATAGAAAATATGAAATTAGTAATTGATACGCGTCGGTTAAGAAATGTATTGCTGTACGCGAGTGAAAGTGATTTTGTAATTTTGTATTTGTAACAAAAAAATTTTTGTGAAAAAAAAATAATTTTTTTTACCGTCTACACAAATTCTTTTCAAAATCGTTACCAGAGCTGTGGTATTATTAAAATTTACAAATTCTTCGCAAATTGCATGGAATATGAAATTTACAAAGCATATATATTTATATATATATATATATACACACAAAATTTGGTATGAAATTCAGACCGTACCGGAAGTAAATAATTCATCCTACAGTCGAGTCACGAATGGCAAAAGATGGCCGTCCGCGTCATCGACAAAGGTACCAGGAAGCCTCCGTGTTTTGGATGTAAAATTAAATTAGTCTAAGACGACGGAATCGCGTTATGTAAATTGCGCGAAAGATGGCGCGACAGTGGAATCAATTATAATTATGAGAAATTAAAAAGTTATCGCGTGACTAAAGAATTAATGGCTTTTCTCGCGCAATGGCGCCTTGAGGATTCAACAGTATTTGCGTACATCTACTATTTCATAATATACGAGGGTAAGGAATAAATGGAAAAAAAAAAAAAAAAACTTCCAGGAGCAAAATCGCTCTGGAAATAAATAGCTAAACTCTCCTTGAATATGAAACTGTAAAAGGAGTTGTGATGGAGCTTAGCCATTAAACTGTAGAATTTAAGTTTATTCCCAGTCGCATTAATGCCGACCGCTTCATAACGGAAGTTCCAAGTGCCTACCTATCGGTAAGAGCTTATCGCTGCATAGAAACCAGCCCGCACTTTTCCCTGTGCGTGCTGGTTAAAAACGTGCGTCACTTGACGACTGATGAGCTTTTGCCAAATTTTTTGATTTTTTTTTATAAAATATTTTTTCAACATCGCTGATTGCACTCAACCTCATTCACGACCACGATTCGTTCGACTAATAATTTCTCGAATTTGAATAAAAATATTTTCCAAAAAAAAAATTCATTTTTTTTACCTTCAATCTTTCGGATCCCGTTTCTCCTATCTAACGCAGCTGATTTGCGTTGAATTAATTTCACGTCAATCATATATGTATATACAGACATAACGTTCGTTGTACACGAAGGATGTTGAGATAACGAGACATGGGTCTGATTACTCAGCAATAAGTGACGTCACGCTCCATCGAACCAATACCCACTGCCCGACCATGATTTCATCGGAGCGACTTCCGAGTTACGATTTTAAATTTGAAAGAGAAAAATTATTTTAAAAATTTGAATTTTTCAGCACGATATAAAAAATAGCAAGAAAAACCGTCGTAACACAAATCTAGTAAAATTTAGTCCGCGGGAAGTCTCGCGTAAATATATTGCGGAACACAATCGTTACGAGGGAGCTCCAAACTTTGAACTTTCAATAAAAGCCCGATATCCATGCAGCATTGGATTTCAAGTGGGAATATCGAATGCTCTTCGATGCACAGTCGATATAAATGCACCACTTTTCTCGGACGAATAAAATATTCCCCTATATACATGTATATACCTCACCGCATCTAAAAGCAGAAGAAACTCGTTCCAAAATCCTGAATACACCAAAAATCCACCTTCCCGTCGCCGTTAAAATTCGGCCAAAAACAAAAAATTTCCCACGAAAAAAAAAAAAAAAAATAATTCCCTAGAACAAAGAAACAGTATCCGCGTATGGTAGTTCGTCGCTAGATTTTAGCCCGGACACGAACCACATTTAAAAGTCCGTAAAATAGCACGAAACGAAAAACGGTCCCGCATAAAAATATCTTCGGCAAAACTTTTAAAAGATACATCTGAAGTCGCCAAAGAATGGGCGTCTCGCAGCAGTCACCCAAGCGAGATGAGAAATGGCATTTACTTTGACGGCGAATGCACGTCGTAGAATCGAGAAGAATGTGAAATACGAAGGGAACGTAAGGATTGTTATCGTGCACGGGGTATAATAAATCTTAATACTCATAGGTGTGGATGGAAGCGTGTAAGCAGCGTGAAAGGAGGGGAGGAAGTGAGGCACGGAGAATATGTGAGAGATCAGGGGAGGGAACGAAGTGGGGTGAGAGTGGGGGGGGGCTGCACGAGAGAAGGGAAGGAGGAGAGGCGGTAGGAGCCACGGTAGAGAAGCATATCCAGGACACCATGCTTTGGAAATATTAATGACTTCAGCAGAGGAGCCGGTCCTGCATTCATCTATCTTGGAAAAGCTCTTTGTTTTGGAAAAGAGGGGCGCCACTGCCCCTCTTTAATCAAATAACAATCATAAAGGTGGAGGTAAAGTAAATAAATTTACTTAACCGACGTCGCTCGCTCTTCATTTACGTCGCTTTACGAATTTCTCCGGCTACATGTTAACCCGGGTAACGCCATCAAGTTTCTTTTTAGATTTTCTCCCTCGTCGTTTGAACGTAATATCGTTGAAAATATCAAAGACGAATTTTAAATCCTTGGTCCATTGCGTCGTGTACAAATTTTTGTTACATTTTTTTTTTGTGTGAAAATCACAATTCGCTTATCACTGATTGTAGAGAATTGAGATTGACAAGAGAGAGAGAGAGAGAGAGAGAGAGAGAGGGATACGTCGCGAGGCGATGGTCGTATTTAATTATAACAATAGTAAAAATCTTATAATTTTTAATAATAAAATTAGCATCTACTCCCATACTACGAACACTCTCCCACGGACCCTGGGCACAGTATACCAAGCACTCATCTATCAGTCTGTTTTAAAATTTAAGACCCTTTCAACAAAAAGCTTTTATTTACAATGAATAACAAGGAAAAAATCCAAAATTCATTATCATCCAAAAAAATTTCAGCAAAACTCCCAGATACACTGTACGCGGTATCTATAATTTTATAAAGAATTTGTTGCTCGTCACAAGCAATATAATCATGATTGATTACACGTTATCACGTTTATACATAATATACATTGTACAGAATAACACTGATGATATATAATAATCGTATATACACCAAGTGCAGCCATATACGTGTAATTTATCACAGTAAAATATATATATATATATATATATACACCAGAACGTACATAAAGAGAGCAGCATCCAATTTCTCAGAACAAGGGTGGATTCCTCCCTTAATAAAGTGACGTTGAGGTAGATGCAGCACGTTTTTCAATTTAGTACTTGGCCCGTGGCACATAACCCCAGAGTTTTCCCAGCCGGCAGACTCGAGCCACTCTCAGTTCTTGAAGGCTTGTTATCAGCAGGGATTTTCCTTGGTCAGAGATTTGAAGAAGGGTCTTATCATCCCCACGGCCATCACGCCTATGGCTATCATCCCTGCGATCGTCCCTACAGCTCTGACCACCAGCAGCTCGAGCAATTTCGCCTTCCTCCGCATAAGTGTAGCCCTCGATACAAGGCTAGCCTCTGGCATGACTCATTTAAATTTGACAGAGTAACCTAATGTTTCGAAGCTTCGACCAATTACGTATACTCGATCAGCCATAATTAATATAGCTGTTAAGACGTTCTCAGGAAGATCGGATAATCCTGCCACGAGATTCGGTGGATCATTCTTGTAAGATCTTGGATGTCGAAGTAGGTCGCACGTATCGCCACAGCTTAGAGCGTTGGGTTAACGTGATACGAGATGGGTTGGATTTAATAAAGATGGCAGCGAGGAAGATAAAATTGAACAATTAAATATTTCTTCGTCAATGCTGGTATCCGTTATGTAAATTTCTTTCGGTAATAATCTGAAATACAGTAAATTAATGAATTAATAAGAATATTAGAAGCGCCAATTGGGATTTTCAATTATTATGTAAATTTTTTAAACTCACCCATCGATTCCGCCGGCTTTGACAATGAGAGACTTCGGTGTGTGCTGCGTGCGATAATTAAATGCTCGAGTCGAAAAGACTGAACAGAAAAGAAAGGATGCAATTTGTTAATGACTCTCGAAAAAGAACGGCGAACGAAGGAAGGTAACGAGGAGTATAAATTCGTGCCGGAATTACGCAACCAGGGAAAGAATTTTCTAACCAGGGAACAGCGAAGTTTCAAGCAGCTGCTCTTGAGCTCCGACAATATTTCACTGCAATTATGCAATGCAGTTGATTGTCGTAGATTACATTAAAACCTTGTTTCCTGGGATAACATTATTTTAACTTTTTTCTTTTTTTTTTTTCGTTTTTTTCTACTTATTGCCACTAGCCCTTTATTTAAAAAGGGCACCCGTTACCCTAAACACGAATGTGGAGCATATTTATTTTATATATAAATACTTTATCTTTATTCATAAGTAAAACCTGTTAGGACACGTGAGCGTGCAGTTCGTAGAAAAATTTACGTAGAAATTCGTTTATTTGAATTTCCCGCTCAACTTTTTCAATTAATCGCTTTCACTTACTTTCATCGATTCCCCCGAGGCTCGTGAGAATTTCTGAAAACTTCTAACGACATTCGTCATATGTCTATACGTAAGTCGTGTATGTATGCTCAGGAGGAAATGGAAAATAAAATTATCGGTGTGCACGATTTAAAAACTTTCTGACGCCTCAATAATATACGGCAGGCAAAGTATTTCGTTCGGGTTACGTAGTTACGTACGGCGCCAGTCAAAATGGCAACCGTGATTAATTTCCGCAAGAAATTATGTTATGACTTCCTGGCGTTATAAAGGTGCGTATGAATTGTGGAAAAATATTAAACGCACAAAACCTGTCAAATGGATAGCACACTGAACAACGTAGTCCTTATGCTTTCACTTGTTTGCTAATCTCAAGTGATTATGGTTTAACTTCATTAGCCCAACCGCAGCGCAAAGTACCGGACGATATTATGTATTGTTAAGCCGCGTTTCACTTTAATCAAATTTCCCGCGTTACTGTCGGTTGGAGTGGACGAGATATTGTAAAAACGATAACACAGTTTTCGCTGCTGCACGATAACACCAAAATTAGTACACTGCGCGCGTACGAGGAATCTCTTTGAATTTTAAAAATTTTTAAATAAGATCGTACGTAAGTGAATTTCTTTTTTTAAATTCAATTTCTTATATCGCATTACCGTTTAAATAATACAAACGCACGAGGTACGAATGTCCAATTAAAATCAAGTACGATCGAGTTTGATTCGTTTGTGCCTTGAAATATTTTTACTTTATCAAATTATGTATTTATGTGAAATTCAGTCGTATAAAAAAATATCGGGTTTTGCAACTCAGGGAGCCAATTCGGAAAATTCATACACGTGGGTACGAGGTAAATATGTACATACGTACATTCTGTACAAAGAATACGGTATGTTGATGTTACGTTAAGTAAACAAGATTTATTTAGATGGCACACGTTGATGGCGAAAGCTTTAACAGATTCGATCTCACGACCAAGTAGAACGACCATGGAATAGCGTCTGAGTTTTTTATTTCTGAATGGAATCTATTCGCGTGATCTTTAATCCTGTGGGAAGATCGTCCTTCGTCCTATTTCGCGTGTCGTCTGCCATTTCCATGTATACTTGGACTACGGAGAAACCGAGAGACAAAGATAAAAGTGAACGTTCCGCCGAGTCAAGTATAAAAATTCGAACGGCGTCTCTAACCTGAAAATTGGTCCGGTTTGTCACTGAAATCGAATAACACTTGACCATAGCTGGGTGGCAAGGTCGAGGAAAATCCAGGAAATTCCAGAACAAAGAACGACTTCTGTGTATCGTTTTGGACGGTGACAAATGAAGGTGACTACGTTGCTTTGCGAGTCATGCGTGAATAAAGACGTGTATATATATATATATACAGATAGATAGTAACACCATGCTTTACACAAAAAAGGACGTCTGGGCAAAAGTTCTCTATGGTTATCGTCCCGGGTGACCCTCAAATTTCAAAGATCTAACCGACGTAGCTTGACGCACAATAAATACCTTGACAAAGCAGTAAATTCCAAATAGCATTCGTGGGACGGGAGCATCCATTCCTGTCGCGCCATTTATATACCAGCTACTTTTCACTTTTACACTTTTATCGCCAATTCGCTTTCGATATCCCGAACAATTATCATCCATTCTGGCACTCGTAGTCTTTATTCTTCCACTGAATAACGTAGTTAAAACCGAAGCAGCTTAAACAACGCACTTATTCACGCCGAGTTACTATGCGCGTCGGTCGTTACGTTCTTCACGGCGAATACTTGAGTCGCGTATTACCGGCTTTGAAACTCTGGTGCTGCCGTCGTCAAGCGAGCAACTATAGAGGCTTAATGCCGTATTAAAAATTCTTCGATACAAAGAATATTCAATTTTACGTTAATGTTAATTATAATTGTTATTTTTTCGATACGTATGCAATTCTTCTGTCTTATATCATAACGTCCCTATTTTATTTGACAGAACGGCGGGATATTTGAACTTAACGTGTCCCCTGGCGGCCTCTGGCTCTACAGTGTTTACTGGTCTACGTTCACGGCTCGTTAACTCACAGCCCAAGCTCGCGTCCTCCGCTCGTCAGTAGCATCTGGTCGAACGAAGCACGAAAGTCAGAAGGCACTTTAAAACCGTGGCAGAAGCTCCGGACGGAAAACTAAAACTACGGCGATATTAACCGAGCCGTAAGGATTCATCTATGTCGGCATACGGAAACTTGTTACGACTTGACGTAACAACGTTTTGCATCGCGCGAATAATCCGCTCGGTTTTATTAGCAAAGTCCGTACTTACCCAAGTATACGTATACATTCGGTAGATACGTATAAACTCATATGATACTTTAGATAAAATTTTCGATACCACGCGTTCATTTAAAAATTCCTACTAATACCATTTTACATGCACAGCGTAAACAAGATATTTATTTTTCACAATTTTCACTCCCATACTTTACATACAATTTAAAACGCAAACTCATACAACGAGGACGTAACAAACCTCGAGTTACAGTTTCGTCATTTTGTATAATTACCGAAGCATGATTATGGGCTTTTATAACAATAATAATACTGCCAAACAGGTGGTTTCAAACTTAACCTCACTTTCCAGGTTAATACCGTTTCAAAGTGCTAACTGAAAACTGATATTAATGATATTATGATATTTTATTTAATGAAAGACGCGTATGCACCAGTAAAATGGCAGCTCTACAGACAATTTCATTTCGAGAGTACTAGTCCATAAAACCAATACGAGTAATCCGTACGGGCTCCGAATTCAAATTAACGAAAGCCAGAATCGGATAAATTAATCATATGCATTACGTATCCAGATAGAGAAATTCTATAGGACTCGTAAACAGATTTAGAACACGTGAGTAGTACAAAAAGATTCTTAATACCGTATCGTGTACTTTACTCATCAACGCTTCCTGCAGCGTATACCTGCCATATGCGTACACGTGTAAATTCGCATGTCCTAGAATCGATAAGCCGTTAAAGCTCTGAGTACGTGAAAACTTGTAAAGCGTAAATGGGTTTCAGCCAATGACGTTACCTTTGAACTTAAAGTTATTTAACGAATTCTTCATTGCATACGTAAAAATAAACAAGCCTTGTCAGTTTCATTACAGAGGAAAGATTCGTCTCGAGAATGGAGTATCCGGTAAGTGCGAATAATCTGACCGGCAAAAATGGTTACAATGAAGGAAAAATTTTTGAAAATTTCATAGAATATTTCAGAGACGATACAAGGTAAACGCTCGACCATTACGAGACAGGAAATGAATCCCCAACAGATCTGTTCGACCGATATGATATTTTAGGTTAGAAATTAATTTTTTACATATAATTGACAAATTTTTTTAAATTTTATTATGCGAAAATGTCAAGAATTTTTTCCCCTTTTTTTTCTTTTTTTCGTCAGTTTCATCTCATTCATTTCAAGATGTCTTCCCGCGGCTGCTACCACTACTGGCCTGATTGGCACTCGGTCCACGGTAGCGGGTAATTATTTCGTAATCAGACCGTCGTGATTATCCGGCTCTATGGGATTATTTGCAAAGTTTATGCTCGCAGGCTAAGCTTCCAGTATAATTAAAGCAGCATCCACACTGCGGCCGGGTGCAACGATGCGTCTAGAGAAAATATTGATAAGCCTAACGAATGGCTCGAAATTAAGCTGCGAGAATATTGCATAAAATGTATTATGCATTGAAAATTTTACATGAAACTCATTAAGTGCCCGATGACGTGATTAAATTTTCATCTCATAATCAAATATTATCTTTTTCACATAAGTTATGACGATTAATCATACAAATTTTATCAATCGGTACTCCCGTCAAGGATTAAAATTTTTCAATAATTTTCAATAATTTTCAATAGCCAATCACGATCCCCGTGACGTCACTTCCGCACGACTATCAAACGCACCACCTAATTCTGCAATTACGCCAAACAGCCTGTTACCCCGCGTTAAAGGGTTGCCTCAATTAAGATAAGAGAGGTTACAAACCAAAAGGGATTCGCAGTCCTTAACGATAGCAAGCGTTTCTCGAGTCCTTTCAGAGCCTTCGTTGTGAGAACTGTAAGCAGCATAAGAAAGTATATACCGGGTGATTCGATCTAAAAGCAACCGCCTGAAGTCGGGCGTCCATTCGATTGACGCAAAATGACGAACCCTGTGCTTGACTATTAAATCGGACGTAAACGTCCTAATGTGCATTCTGTTAAAAATGCATTTACTGTTAAAAAAATAATTACGTAACATTTCCCGGTTAACCTCAAAATTCATTTTTTTTAAGTATTAATAATTTTTTTCATATCTCTGGAAACAGGTGTCACGTTGCTCGTCTCCATTTTTTTGTTATTTTTCAATTTTTCAATTGAAATTACGTAGCACCTATAAATCCAGAACTAGGTAATTCATCCGTGTGAACTATATAAAGGTCGTTAGGTAATATCTGATTGTTGACACGACTGATCCTTATGCTCGTACCACACGTATACATATACGGGCGCGTTATTACTGTGATATACAGATATATATATATATATATAGACTTGTCTAAAGAGTGATTCATAAATTGCCTCGTAAATGTCTAAAATTTTGATATAGAAGATTTGGACTTTACAATGGAATTTATTCTAGTTCATTTTATAGTATTCGCCGTTTCGCACCTTTTTACGGACTACGCGAGCTCCGAGTGCCATTAAAATTTTTATCATGTTAAAGTCGCCCCTTACATTTCGTACCTTACATGCTTTTTATTTCTTCCCTTTTCTTCGCGTTATTCATGATTTATTCCCGTGGGAAATGCAAAGGCTGGGTAATTACGAGTAACGCGATATATCACTGGTTGACACTGTCAACGAATACTTGACAGCAGATTGCTATAACGAGTGACAAGATTTTGAGTGATAATATTATGATTATATATATATATATTTTTGTTATTAACGAATTTTCGAAAAATATTCAAGTCGTCAATGATTTTTGGATAATTGCAAATTACCGAACGAAAAGTTATCCCAGCAGCACGATTTGTCCTGTTTTCTCGTAATTCCTAACCTCAAATTTATTTTCGTAATATTTAATGCTGATTTCACAGGTTATATTAATCGCGCGCGCAATCTCATTGCTACATTGGATACGCGTGCATACAGTATCAACGGAATCGTTTAATATAGATCAAAGGATCTATTGATCACATTGACGTTATACGTACTTTGGAATTTAAACCTAACCTAACGCTCCGAAATGTATTAGAAATATTTATTACGGAACAGTACTAGTTTTATCTATGATTTACGATCCCAACCCACGCAAAACCAGACACAATAGATTTTCAGTCGAATTTTCTATTCTCGTATCTCTCATTATTCTATTACAGTCAGTTCTGAATATCTGGTCGTCTTGTCGAGTGTATCAGTTATGGAAAAACTGGCACGAGCCGCCGTGTATTTTACAGGCAACATGGGGACGCGCCATTTTTTTTTTTTTTTTCGAGTGACCGCGAATTTGTTTTTACCTTTTTCTTTCTTCGTCTACTCTATCCCTTGTATTATCTGACCCTATTTCGCCATTGTTATATCTATATATGACGTCTTGTGCTTTTGCGAGACAACCGGCCAGTAGCTTGGTTATTTATTCCCAGCCACCAATTTGGTACGGACTTTGTGTATATTTAGACGGCCCAATAGTCATTTGACTAATGGAACGATAAGGCGAGGAGATAAAAAGTTGTTTGAGAGAAAAAGTCGAAAATTTGGACAAAACTTTTTTTTGCATATCTTTTTCAATACGTACTCATTTACGTTACTCGCAAGACCACCGGGTCGGGCAAACGAATTTGTTTTGTCACAGGCGTTAATTGCGGAGCGGAACTCTTTGAGTTTACGAGTGACTTTAACGTCGTATTTTTTATACGCGGATTTAGTTAACGATTAGGATTTTAATTAAGGGTTGAAAGGACTCGATTGTTTTTTTTTTAATGAGAATCGTCCTCTAATCTATTCTTCTCGTGCCAGTTATTTAGCTAGATGAATTAACTACTTAACGAGATCGTAAAAGAGTCGTGGAAATCGAAAAAAAAAATTTACAAAATTTTCAACGCCAAACCACTATCATATTTCCGAATTTCATTATCAAACGATTATTTTCGCAAAGTGCATTTCCGCGTGATGATTTATCGATATCGGCATACTTCAAGTAACAGCATTAGCGAAGTTTCGATATTATAGATTGATACGAGAAAAAAAAATATTTTTAATAGCGATTCCACGTCAAGTTATTATTACAATAAATATAGAGAAACACGAAGAAGAAGAAAAACATAACAACTGTCAAAATAAATACTTACTCCTCCGCCAGTACGACGACTCGTCCACCGATACAAAATATCACAATCACCGTATAAATTCCAATCTAAATTTGCTATTAAGAAAGTCCACTTTTGAAAATTTCCGAGGCAATCACCGCCCGGGTAGCACTGAACCAAAAAAAAAACTGTCACACACCACAATAACTTCACATACCACAAAATATATTTTTTCAAAAATTTTAAAAATTTTCTTTACCTTTCTTTTCCAAGTCGCACAAGAACGAATACTATGATTAACAATGTCACGAGTGCCAGTACAATTGAAAGCTGTGAAATAGCAAAATTTTTAATGATTTTTAAAAATCACAAACGTTCGCACAGAGATGCTCAAGGTTGTCGCGTTACGAGGGGTCCTCGCCGTTACGCTGCGCGTCTGATACTGAACGGGTTTGCTCTACTTCGGCGCGCCACGTTGGTCACGCAGAAAATACAAGCCAAGTCGGACTACGCCAAAGCACCATTTTCACTTCGACACAATAAGCGTCCATTAACTAAAATATCATTGACAAAATGACAAATAAAAATATTTCACTATTTTTTTTTTTTTTTTCAAAAAATACATAATTATTATGTTTTGTTTACATAAGATTTTACTTTAGCCCGGAGTCGGCCCGTGAAAACGGTGTCAAAATCATTAATGGCCCTTGATGGGGATTATATAGGAAAACCATGCCTGACTTTATTTCTAGAACATTCTAAAGCTGCTTATGGGACACGTTATACGGTGGTACCGATTACGTATATTGGCTTTTTATTAGGATGGTTTATAGGGAGCAATGAAGGGTCGATTAAGATACCGGTATAACGATAACTTAGGGTAAAATTGATATGGAGAGTTCGATGGATTGACCGAGGAGGATTCGCTTCGGCCGGTTATATTCGTCGTAAAACGATTTACGATCGGAACTAGGAAAAATTAGTGAATTTGATTTTTTTACCCCCATCTGACATTTTTATACGTACCGTCGCGGAGGGTTGATCGCTCCATCGGATTTCCTCCTCCCTCAAATGTGAAATCCTCGGTTTTAATGAAAAAATTTTATCACGCCCGAAAGATCATTTGCATTTTTTTCATGAGCGACACGTCGAGACGATAGAAACGCTGTCGCGGTTGGGCGACGGTCAGCGACTAAATACGAATTCAGAAATTAGGTGGGAAAAGTAAAAAAAAAATTATTACATAAAGTTACGCCTACGCCACGGAGTATATTTAGGTATCTGAAAAAAAATTTTAAGGGTAAATTGTTATACTTGATAAAACATTTTCAAAGGGGATGATTTTTATAAGATTTATCCTCGTCACAGGTAATTAATGACATTTTCAATGGACGATTAATATTGCCTCTGTTTTTGGCAAAATTTCAGATTGATAACGTCAAACGAAATAAGCATTTTTTTATCGAAACAGACAAAGACAAGTCGATTAAGGACGAGGGTTTAGCCAATGCCACATGGGCCGGAGAGACAGGAAACCCTTCCAGAACAGATAACCGGAAATCGAAAAGCGACCTCGTACAGCCTTTCGTTCTGACGAATGGCCGACTGAGGTCTTTGCCAAAGTTTTTCTTAACTCCCTAGAAGTCGTAGCGATTTTACTCGTGTTATCGAATCTTCTGAAAATCAATTGAAAACATACATTTTCTAGTAGTACTATACCATATCGTACTAGAGTAATATATTTTTTTATAATTAAATACAATTGTTATAACTCATATCGATATATCAAATTCGTCTGTATGACTTTGTAATGGTAAACGAACCTTTACAGGGCTTGACTCTCGTTTCTGCGTATGCAATATATACACAGGGTGTAAAGCAATTATGAAACTGGAAAGACAATAAAATATTTATACTAATTGAAACGGTCGTAGTCTCCATTTTATTTATTAATAAATAACTAAGCTGATATAAGCCAAGAAACAAATTTATAATTGAAATACAATATATATGTACATATATATCCTGTATAACTTGCAAAGCTTCAAACAAAATCATGTCTCGAATAAAAGTTCGTCTAGTACCCTGATTAAATAATTTCAATAGCCAGTCATTAAATATTTAATCAGCAAAATCCACACAAAACATCCAAATGTTAATATTTCAAAAATAACATTTCATCACAATGACAACAGCTACATATGACAATAACGCCAGTTACAATAGTTCCCAAGAAGAATAGCGAGTGTCAAATTATTTCAAGAATTCTATAGAGACACTCACGTGACAACGACGTAAGTGATTGACACATTTATTCCCTCAATATAATAATCCAAAATTACAGTATACAAAAACAATATGTTCCACCATTCGAAAATTCTTAATAATTTAATGCCCCCCTCCGCAACCCTCCTTATCAAATTTCATAATTTTCCTAACAAGAAATCCCAGCCATTAATAACAAAGAAATTTCGTCATCGTTCTACGCTGCTTTTATTATAATTTTACAAACGACCGATATATCTGTATATCCACCAGCTACGTAAACTTCAAGGATAATAAATGATCAGCCTGCAAGCAGCATCCTCGAGCATCGTCACTTCTCTCCTCATCATCCCCACACTAGCTGCACGTCGAGAACATTTTAAACATGGTAACACGTAGCGCACGTGCAGGCGTCATTCTCTGTATAAACGAATTTATGTATATTCATATGCACTCCGTGAGTATCCAGGACGTCCCCGAGACGTTAAATCGCGAAATTAATAACACGTAATTTAAATAAAAGTCGACACACCGTAAGCCTGTTAAACGTGGAGTACGCATACACGATACAGAATGCACATTGAATAATACGGATTTTTGAAATTTTTGGATGCTCAGAAATCACGACTCTCAAAATCAAACTTAATGCACTCGATAACTACCCGTCAGAGAAAATGGCACTGACATAAACCACAGACGTCAGTACTTACCCAAACTTGGCTACGTCGACTTTAAGTTTTCTATGAGTGGCGCAGCACCTCGTCTGCTCTCTGTCCTCTTCGTATAATATCCAGTAAATACACTCAGCACACTGTCCCACTGCACTTAGTGACAGTCCGGTCTGTAAGTAACTCACAAATCAAATTCCAAGTCCGTAGAAGCGCCACGAAATAACTAACCACGCCAATTCACCAGATCTCGCCTGATATCCGTTCGCGCGAAAGGAGGTTAACGGTCGGTATGTTCAAATTTTTCCGAACTGCCTAGCTTCTCGGGGGGGTCGCCCCTTACTGACTACTTGTGGTGGGCCCATACACAACATTCCCCTCCGACCCCTCAGTCCCAGTTGCTTTCCCTTGCAAACGCAGCCATCATGGCAGCTCGTGATCCTTCAGCTACTTCCAGTGAGTTACGTCGGTTAAAGACGTCAGGTGCCGTTGGATGACGCTATTTTAATTTGATTTTCCGTTCCTCAATTACTTGGATCTATGCAGCCCTTAGGATGAGGCCACGCGGTCGACGATGGAGTGAAGGTAGGAATTTGTAACGAGGCCATCTTGAATGCTGTCAGGATGTATCTATAGATATATTATATATATAAATATGTGTAATGTATACAGTGTACATACGTTCTGGGAATAGCTAAGCGGCTGATCCTTACGTATGGAGATACAGTGAGCTGTAATACGTGTCTGAAAAATGTTGTTTGTTCTCTGAGAATATCGAAGAAATTCTTGAGACGTTACATAAATATCTGTAATTATGGTGTGCATATACGTGAGGCATTCTTTACCGGGTTAACCAGTGCGAGTTTATTTATCCTTTGACTTTTCTCCTTATCTTTTATTCTTGGATGAACAGTGAACTTAAAAATATTTTTTGATTTAAGGTTTCGATAACCTTCGCGGGACGACAGGTCTGACTTCCAAAAGTTCTATGTTTAGTGTGTGTTTACTGACTTGCCACTTCCGATAGCACGGGAATTTTCAAGCCCTGTTTGACTATCATACGTAGCTCTCATATAAACGCCCTGCAGTAATTATCAAATCTACTTGTCACTTACACGCGTCTATTTAATAGGGGCGGGGATTGAAAAAAAATATTTCACCGGAGGGATACCAATTAATTACAGGGGTTAAAAGATGCCGCTAAATTTCTTGGGCAATCATCCCCTATTTTTTGACCTCCTTCACGATACTCACCCCTGCTCGTTTTTTATCTCGCGATACGATCCTTCATTTTTTTTCTTATATCTTTACAATTAATCATCGGTCTATCGAAGCGTGTTTATCTGAATGCTGCCAATTTGGAGAGGGAATAAAAGCAAAAAAAGTTAGTAGTACAACATCTTGTCATTATAACGATAAGGGGGTGTAATGTAAATGAACGAAAGTGAGCATATCTGAAAGAGTTGTACTCAGGGGATGGTAAGGTGTCAGAAGGAATTTCCGATACGAGGGTTGCTTTTTGCTTGAAAATTGTCCCACTACGTCGACCAGAATTTTCCGTCGCGACGCTGTCACTGACAGGCGTCGTCTACTTGTTAATGGTAATTAAATATCATCGCGAATTATTTTTTAATAGTGAGATCCATTATTATTAAATTATTATTAACGATTACAAGAGCGTGATACAGTGATCGTTGGTAAAAGTTAAACAGGTTAGGTTTTGTCAAAGGAATATGGTAATTTGAAAAAAAAATTTTAATATATATTTTGAAAATCTGTTTCAGGGATTTTCAATTTCTTTGGGACTGAAACTTCAACTTGGATTACGTGCTTACCGTAGAACTTATTTATTTTTATTTTTACTCTTGATTTCTTGGACAGTGACGTCATCAACGATTGTAGGATTGCAGTATTATTTTAATTAAACAGATATCGAATTATTCGTCTTTCCTTACGATAGTCGTACGTCGGCCTTTCAGATATTAACCGTTTAATTGACGATGAACAGGGCCAAGATCCATTTTCTGTTTATCTTATGCATCTATGGTGCCCCGGTTGTTTATACGCAGAAGTATAGTCGAATGAATCGAATCAACGAATTTGAATACGAGTCTATAATAGAAAGAGAATAAGGAAGAAAGAGGAAAGCAAAAAGTAGGAAAAAAAGGCATCGAGCGAAGTTGGAGTCTCGTGGAGAAACGAAAGAGATGCAACGGCGCGTAAAATCGAGGCGATTTACTTTTCAGCTATGGAATCTAATCCCAATGCAAAGGGTCCGATCTTCGATTCCAACATGGCGAGCAGCAGACACGTTCCGCTTACCGTTCCAAGCCACGTGCGGCAAGAGGAAATACTCGACCGCGAATATCACGAATATACACGGTAAATGAGATTCCAGAAGTTCGATCGTTGCCGTTGAGGGTTTCTTTTTGAGCTGAGAATGAGATATACATAAATATGTGGGTACGTAGTTGATAGAATGTATGATAAATTACGACGCTCCGGGAACGCATCGTGTGACAATGGATTCCCTTTTGTGCGTCCGTGAAACGTGTAGCCAACCCCTCGCTGATAAATCGAGAGAAATCTGGCCGTCCTTTCCTAATGCAGACCTAACCCTAACCTGCAAAATAATGAAGAGAACAATCCTTGTCCTCGATGCTGCTACACTTTGTCTAACAGATTTTACATTGTATTTTTCCTGTTAAGGTTGGTTTCTAATGGCTCTTTTGTTTCTTTCTCATTTTTACTTTCGCCGAATTCTCTGATAGCTCCTGGCCATATGGGAATTTCGTGTCAACCCTTGTTGGACCTACGACTTTTTGTGTTGCCTCGTGCCGACGAAAACGCGTTCTAAAAGGACAAAGCAGAAACAAAAATTACTGGAAACAAAGGCAGCTACGTATTTACAGGGGAGACTCGTGGTGACACGTAAGTTTGATAAGAATTTTTATTTGGAATTTCTCACATTTTCTGTTTGGCTGTACCGTACACTCTTTTTTTCAGAAATTTCTTCTGGCGACCAGACGTCTTGTGACTTTCAAAGTGGATTTAAGACTTTCATGGATTCTTTGATTTTTTGTTACAAAATCGTTTTTGAATTAATATCATCTGAATCGTGAGTGAGGTTTGTATAATAGTATACTGTCAGAACTTGTTATGTTTTTCGATTTTCCTTTAAAATTCTACTCTCAACATTTTATTCTTTTAGCCAAGATTCAGAGGCGTCTTATATCCTGAAGCAACATCGCCATTTCGAGGGAGAAGTATGAATTTCAGATTTTACGATAATGTAGGGCTATCCGTACTTAGCTACCGCAAGCATTGACATTCCGGAAGAAGGTAATTCTGCTTTTTTGTTCATGTGAAAAAAAAAGTCTATTAGGGTTTCACAGTACAGTTTTACCTACTTAATTATTTATATATTCTAAAATACAGAAACTAGTACCTTAGACAATGTTGAACACAAAGATTTTAAGGACTGTAAATCCCAAGCACGAATACTAATTTTTATATATCTTTGAAGGATTCCAACAAAGAATAACGTGAAGCATAAAAAGAAAAGGAAAGTACGGAGACGGTTGGACTATCCTGACAAGCATAAACAACACCATAGAATAATAAGTAAGCTCATAGTCAGAAGGAAAGAAAAACATTCAACCATCACTTCCAGGCCTAGAAAACGCATAGAAGCGGGGGTCCGCGATGGGCACTTACTGGCTCATTTGGCACCTATCGACGTACCAGTAACGATTTAGTGCTGGACCACTGTTACACGTTTTTGCGGTAAGACGGGGTACTAGCTCAAACCGTCATAAAGACTTCCACCATCGTTACCAAAAAAGAATTCGAGGGTCCATTGGCTCAATATAATTTCAATCTTGAGATCTAAAATTGTTTCTCACAAAATTCCTATGATTTAAAAAGTTTTAATGCACCCCAGTGATACAGATAATTCACCACGTTCACCAAAGGTTAATAAACAAGGTTTATTGAGAATCAACCTAGAAAAGCTTTTATATCTTCAAGCTTGCTTATAATTTACTCCTCAGATGCATTTCATTTATATTGTATAACAGTGTAATGTCCAACAGGGGTTGTTCCGGTTTGGCGCAGCCGTTCAAGTTACTTGGCTGAATACAAGGGGTGGCTTTAGGGCCAATTTCTCTCGTTAGTCGACCACCTTCACAGTACTAGGATACTTGTTGCTGTTGCTACGTAAATTGCCGGCCAACTAGTGGGCTTCATTACGTCGTAATTACCGTGATCGTTAATGACTTTATACGCCCATCATCTGGACCCCACTGAAGAGAGGATATTCTACCAGCCTCTGTATAGCAGGTGCAAACTTTATAGGCAGCATGAAATAAAAGGATCTTGGAAGATTGCTCCTGTAAATTGGCAATATGGTCATAACTTTTTTTGGCTAAATAACGTAAACTTGGTAATTATTCATGGCATAATAGTGAAGAGATGAGTCACCCCCTTTTTAATGCTGCTTAATTTCAAAGTCACCTTTTAAGAGGTTAGTTGATACTTTAGATTTATAATTATAATTATTATATTCGTACTGTGTATCAATGGAAAGGAATTTTTTTAACTACTTTCACTTATGGTTTTGTATAAGCATACATTCATTTGTTGACTGTATTTCATAGTGTATAAGGAAACCAAATGGAAGTTGTTGATCTTCACTTTTTTAAGGGATGACTTGCTCTTGGTACTGGATAATTTTCTTTTGTTTTAGCTGATGTTACGTGTATCGTTATATGAGAGCACATTATTTTGGAAATGACCATCGTGGTTCTGGGGTAAAAGCATATAGACAAAGCCTATAAAGAAAACCAGGCTATTTCTAACCATTTCGTCGGGAACATCGATTGATATTTATCTGCTGGAATTGCTGTGTAAAATGGATTTATGTGAGCGTCGTGGGTCGCCGATGCGTTAGAGTTCCGACCCGACATTTCTCAACGTTCTACGACCATCTGCCACTTCCACTTTGTCCGGACAAGTTTTTTTAGTTTCTTGTGGTTATAGTGGCAGTGCGAGTCGCATTTGAAGTAGATATGATTAGATGAAGATTTTATTTAACCTTATACATTGAATTGATAGATAACGTGTGGAGTTTCTTGTTTCGTAAAATTTAAAAAATTAAAACTAATAATATTGGGCAACATTGTATAAAGTTTCGATAATTCTTTAAATTGTAAAGTTTTGTAGGTGCAAGTTTTAAAAATGAAAAACGAATTATCAAATTTAAACTGGCCGTCTTAGGAGCATGCCGGATACAAAGGTTGACTATGTGCTTTTTTTTAAAAATATCTTTGATAGGCATTTTTTATTCCCTTTCTTGTTCGTGCCCGGAAATGATACCTTCTCTGGTTGATGTGTTTCCGGTATATCGAAATTCTTTTCCTCAATAGTTCTTTCTGTGTCGCAGACTATTTATCGTGCTGTTTAAAATTCTGCGTGCTTGCAAGCTTTTTATTCCTCAGATAGCGAGCAGCTATTTGTGTAGGTAAAGGGAGAAAGAGCTTGGATGTATTTTAAAGTTGAAAAGTAAAACTTGAAAAAGTTTTGTCCCGTCGACAGTTTAACGTTTACTATTGAAATCTTACATCGGTTCTTATCATAATTAATAAATTGCGATAGCTGACTATTTTCACGCATATTTCTTATTATAGTCATATATATCATTGTTTTCCTTGTTTTGTTCTACTTTACTGGGACTTTAGTTAGGTTGAGAGATAAGGTACAGGTGTTACATATTTGACATTTTGCAAAACTGTAGATGCTGCTTCTGTCGAAAACATCATCATAAGTGCTGCCACCTATGAGTGGCAGAATCTGTTACTTCGTAAACACGAACTGTGTTCAGTCGTTAATAAGCTACTGGTAAGTCATCAACAGTAAAAGACGGCAGAGGCCTTTCTAGACGGACCAAAGTATAGCTAATATGTATTGTGGGTGCGAAAATTATTGCTCTAAATTGTTTAAGCAGTTGCGCCTTGTTCCGTTTTGGCGCTCATAGTATCTATCCGCGTTATGCGTGTTATCAGGTAGTAGTTCGGTTATACTAACAATAGGTAACATTGGTTGGATGAGGGATCTTTAACCGTAACAAGACAGATACCACTGCCTTGGCAGAAACTACTCTTTCCTTACTATTATACTTTTACTCTGATGCATCAATATTTACTTTCTTCTGAAATAAAAGTATACGATACTCATCTTTGATTCTATTGATTTTGAAGAACCTTGAAAATTGCACCTCTAGGATGTTACGTGCCGAAAAAGACTGAGAACTCAGCTATTTCCTTGAAATTTTTACTATTTTTAATTCGGAAACTGAAATGATCCAAATCAAACTATATGAATTTTTATTAATTTGAATTTTCGCCGTTAAGCATAGGTTAGGCACTGCATCTCCTGGGTATGCCATGTGGCGCCATCTCTGAGGCAGCTAGTGAACCTTGTACGATATTATTCATATGATAAAACAGTATAAACTTTTGTATGCCGTTGATAACTAGATGACATTAGAAATTTTATATTCTTACAAGTGTAGCGTCGGAGTACAGCATCCCTATAGTTAAGGCATTCTACCGACAGATGGACTACGTTCACCGTCGGAAATCCGATACGCGGTGTTCTAAAGTGAGCATTTTTTTTATCTGTAAGGTATTTGATCTTCCATGTCATGCCACTTGCTTTAATATTTGTTCTGTTTCATGTAACTCAGATTTTGGGACTTCTAAGTCTTTTTTATAAATATCAAAACAATTAAATACAGAATAGCTCTTTTAATTAATATTAATCAGGAAGAATATAATCGGACAGATATAATAAGGTGTATGTCTTTTTATTCGTGTTCTAAACTTGTTTGTTCCGTACAGCTGGTTGTTGCGCAGTTATGGATTGCTGCAGGCCGTATGGCGACTCTCCCGAATTTTTTTCTTTTTTCTTTAATTAAAACTCCCAGAGAAAATAGCGACTGCCCCAACCCCAAGAGCTCAAAAGACATCGGTAGTATCAGGATTCTCATTCTCCGATGAATACTGTACTGAGAAAATCGGATATCCGCCAAGCCACAGCGTCCTCGCGCAATTCTAATCCATCGAGGTCGAAAAGCCGTATTAACCAGTGTACCTTACGATTAGTGTAATATAACAATATTGTTTCTAACGAAATAGAAATCATCACAATTTTCGGGCAGCGCTAGCGGGGGTGATGTGACACGAGTGTTGGGTATTTACCATACGTATTACAATATCATAATCATAATTAATAATAAGTATTAAGTAATATTACAATTAATGAATAAAAGCAAAGTTTCAACTTATATAATGAGTGCTCCGGCCTTTGAGGGAAACAAGAGAGAATTAATCGTTGCCGCGTCTCCTCCCTCGTAACGAGAGACTTTTGCAAAGTGAAATTAGAGTAAAGAAAATCAACAGAAGAAAAGCGAAATAATGAGTGTAACCTCGTGTACTCCGAATACATTGTTAAACATAAAAACAAAATACTGACGTTTACAATGCACATAGTACAAAGCTGCTCGATCCTTAAAGATGTTCTTCTTCGTTTCTTCATCTTCCTCCTCTTCCTCTCTTTATTGATCTTCGCGTTCTCTTTCGTTTCTTTCTCTTTTTTGGTATACGTTAATTAAAAGGAACTCTTTAAACGTAATTCACAATAGTAGTAAATATCACGTGTTGTGTGTGAGTGTCAAGTGGTAGATGGCGAAGGGGAGGGATAAGAAAAATAAAGGAGATGAGGAGTAACCCGAAGACGAACTCTAGGAGCAAGCCTCCTCTAACGCGCTAAGGATAAGTTTTAAGAATTACGTATTACCAAAGACACGTAATTACCCTAGAAGTTCTCTTTCTTGTATCGCAATACGATCGAGCTCATCCTCGTCTCCAGGAACTTCGGGGACGCGTGGTGGCCAACAGTGACAACAACATGGGGAGGGTAGTATCTAGGATATGGAAAGGAAACCACTTTACAGTTCCTTCTCGATCTTGATGAGCTCCGCGATGCCGTCGTGCATTTCCTTGACGGCCTGGTACTCGGTGAGTCCGAGACGTCGCTTGTTGGAGATGTCGTAGATGCCACCTTCGGCCTCGGTGTGCTCACCGCGGGTTCCGCGCACCTGGAGGTTGAACTTGGAGGCGACCTCCTCGAGCTTAGCCTTGTTTGCGGCCAGCTTGGGTACCTTGATGTGCACAGAGGCGCGCACCGTCGTACCCAGATTTGTCGGGCAGAAGGTCAGGAAACCAAGACGGTCATTGTGGGAGAAGGGAAGGCGCTTCTCGATGTCGTTGACGGCAGTCACCAGACGACGGTAAACCTGGTGAACGACAGAGCATTGTGTTAGAGTTTCTTGGCAGAAGAAAAAAAAAAGAGTAACTACTGCGACACCGTATTCCGAACCAGGGCACAGGAGTTAAGATGATCCTTTGTTCGCGAGGAGAGTAGCAAAGTATTCTTGTCGAACAAGATAGATATGAAACTGGGCTAATGGGGATCTGATAGTTTAGCAAATTGTATATTCACCTGGCCCAGGTCACCGCCCATCTGCATAGAGATGATACGAAGATGATCCTCCTCGTTGCACCAGACCAGGAAGGTCTTGGCATCGTTGTGGTAGATACCACGTCCGGTGGGCCAGAATCGGCAAGCATTGGCTGCCTGGAGGAAACGGTCACCCTCCTTGAAGAGGAAGTGGTCGTCGATCAGCTTCTGCTGGACCTCCTTGCTCATTCCGGTGAGTGGGTAGAAAGTACCCTTGAGTTCGCCCTCGAGTCCAGAGAGGGTGCTGGATACCTTCTCTTCCATCTCCTTGTACTGAGCCTCGGTCAGGCAGGGGTTGAAGGGGTACCCCTCGAGGGAACGTCCGCACCTGACACGGGTGGACACGATGTACTCACCCTGAATATAAAGATGTCGATTATAAAAACGTACCCTCATTACTCTCAATGAATCCCAGCCAAGAACAAATTCACATTTTTTTTTACATACAGAAGGGTCAAGATTGCCAAGAGTATCGACATCGCCAAAGTCCTTGGGAGGGTGCTTGTCAGTCTTCTTGAATCCACCATGGTAGTCCTCGATGATGGGGTCGAAAAGGTCGGCGAAGACGGTGTATGCTTCAGCATCAGGAGCATAGATACCAACTCCGGAGTCGTGATTCTCCAGACCGGACTGGATAACGTCCAGCAGGGTGGAACCAAAGGAGGTCTTCTTAGTCTTCAGCTGGTCAAAGACTTCCTTGGTCAGATACTTCTTCAGCAAAGACTTGCTGTCGGAAGCAGCCAGCTTGGCGTAGCCAGCCTCCAGTTTGTCAAGGACTGCTTGGTCTACCATGTTGTTTTTCTTGCTACAGACACGCAAAAATCACAATACCTTTATTAGCTAATGGATAAATTTCAAAAAAAAAAAAATACGTTACACCAACTACAAGATTATCCATATTATATCCAATCAGTTATGAAACAGTATCCTCACAAGCGCCATCTTTATTTCATATGATTAATACCTTATCAATTTGTCCTTTAATTAGCGGATTCAACATTTTTTTTAAATTACCTATCTCTAACAATGTATTACATCCATCCGTCAATACTATCATATATCAATGTAACCGGCAAACGCGGCATTAGAGATTTCTTCAAAGATCCAGCATTCAAGTGCCGTCATTCGTGTCCATCGCAATTCACATCGATAACAGATTACACGATAATCGTACCTGCTGATTAGAATTTCTTCGAATTTCTAACGACTGAATAAACACAGTAATAGCAACTTCTGTGAAAAGCCTACAGTGCGTGTTGGCGTATTATTAAAAAATCATTATCTAATTCCAAGAGCATCGATCAAAATCAGGTATAAAAAGAAAAAAGTCAATAACCTATAAATGAACCTCAACACTCCTACGTGCCCGTTCAATTGCTACATGCCACATGAATTCCTCTCGGTATCACGTAATTGCATACCGTTTACGTATATTAAGTGTCAATCATCGTCTACGCGTTTACTTCGTACAGCTTTGTAAAGAATTTTTATAAAAACTAATATCTGCAACGAACGTGACAATTCCACCGTAGACAAGTATAATAAAAACACAGCAATTATAGTGACAAAAAAATGACAAGGTATATATGTACTGGGCATACAGTCCAGCCCAGGAAATGACACGTCGTCGTGTTCCCCCACGAGAAAGTAAAATGTAATTTTACGAAATTCGTCTGCACTCCTGCAGCAGTGCCACGCCTACGGTGCAAATACTTGAGAACGTAGCCAGGCAGCTCGACAGAGCCAATGCGACTTGGTAGGAAAACATTCGAAAATAAATAACAAGAGTCAGGCCAGGCATTCGAAGCATAGAGGAGCCCGACACGTTATAATACAGCATTATCAAACGACACCAGTCTACTAGCGATACCAATCCGTATTCTCTATTAGAGCTCAACAAAACACGGAGATACATAGAGATATACGTACACAGCGCGACACAATCGTATACACGAATACCTGTCAATATAAGATTGACCATTACGTAAATCCACGATTATCCAATCGATTAAAGCAGACTTGATCCCTTTTCATCAAGAAATAACGATCACGATTAGTCTTATATTAATCGTCGGTACGCTTGATAATTCCGTGCGGACGCACCGGCAGTGACACAGTAATTGCAACTTTATAGGTTATGCACGAGGTTGACGCTTGACGGCAAAGTTAAAAGACGACAAACGGGATTCTCTAGCTGTATTTACTATCCTGACTTACTTTACGATGATTCGCCAATGTTTTGTTACGGATGATCGGCAAAAGTTTCGTGTAAAACCGCACGTAACAGCCTCCGTGACGCAACAGACAGCGTTAAGAAGCAGCCATGATCCTGCGGACATCTTAGACAAAAGCAACTTCACTTAAAAGCTTCACTCTCTGTATCACCTTCTCCATTTTATTCCCCTTTGACACTGACTTGCAATCGCGCGACTTGGGAAACATCGAATTTTTGGATTTCCTCGTAATAACTACGACGACGGAGACACCGGGGTTCGCGCCATTGTTATACATTGTATTGAGAATAACATGGCTGCTCGGTCTGTCGAGTATTTACGAAATATAATTATCGCATGCAGTAAAGCAATAACGGTGCGCGAAACCGACATGAATTTCTAGGTAATAAGTCCTATCACGAATTTCTACGTACACAGATATTTCCGTAGTGAAAATGGACAATTTCGTCGACAGAATTTTTTGGATTTTCCAAATAATCTACAGGGCCGACGACCAGGATTTTACTGGTCGCGTAATGCCATGCGTCATGCTATGGAAATACGTAACGTGTATCGGAAGTGTATAACCATGCATACAAACTAGACGAGAATCGTAAAAAAAATAAGGTAACCGTAGAAAGTTCAGCCCACTTTCCCTCGCGACACTCCTAAACGTCACGAATCACGTAGACGGGACAGTGATTAAAGAAAACATAAATCTAGAGTTCTAGCAAACACTTAAAACAGAGAAAAGATCGACCACTAAATAAATACATACTCGTCGGCCGAAGCCGTGTCCTTGGAAGTGCATCCGCCCATTGTCAATTCTTGATATAGTCGAACAGTAGAGTAACAACACGACAATCAAACCGCAGTACAGTTCACGTATTCGGGACGAAAGAAAAAACAATGGTTAAGACGTACCGGTAACCTCTAAATGAGAGTAATCGGCACGTAGTCAAAATAGTCAACTGTCAAACTATTACCTCACTGTTACTTATAAATTCACCTCTATCGAAGCACGGTCGATAGAAAACGCAAAATTTCAGAGGTTATACCACGTCGTAACGTATTCCTCTTTATCCTTTTCCGCACTCGGCAGAATCACCCTGACGTGCGGCGTTGCAGCAGCGACATAGAACGCGATCGAATCGACTAGACGGCCACAAGGAAACTAGGTAGCCGGTGTTAACGTACGAGAACGATTAGTATCTCGCGAACGTTTCTTCCGTAGGAGGCGTCGAGTCCTCCAGTGACGATGCGTGTGCGACGTATGTATGTTTCTCGCTGGCTTGCTCCGGCGTAGGTGAGCGAAGACGTGACTCGGGACGGGGTGGGAGAAATACAACGTCGGAGGGAGCTGGAGAGAGATAGAAAGAGTCAACGAGAGAGGGTCGAAGGTCGTACGAAGGAGTCTTCGTATGCACCGAGGAATAAAAAGGGTGTGGTGTGGCGAAGGATGTTGCGATGGCGTAAGTTGACAATTAAAAATCAAACTTACTTCACGGCGTAATAAATTATTGAGCGAATTTAATACTAACGACCACCTCACTTTATTATTATCCTCGCTGTATTATCCTGCCGGGTATTCACGACTGTTAACCTCTAAAATTCTTTTTTGTCGCCGGTTCGACTTGGCGCACTTGAGTTACGTAGTGCTTGCGTAACCTTATACACTCTCGAGGTGCGTGACACGCTCGAGTACGTTACAACGTGCGTTAACCCTTGTATAGCTTTTATTGTTTTTCCTCAGACCTCAAAATTGTCCATTGATCACGGAAACGTAATCGAGTCGACAGCTCTGAAGTGAAACGGTAACTGATTCTATCCTTTACAGGTAGGTAGGCAAAAACTTTAGCAACTACTTTTTTTCTTCTCTCTTCCTCTGCGTACTCAGTGTCTCAACTGATACACGTATGTTTTATTATATTACTGCACAGTCACGTTAAATTGGCACGGGGTTACTTGGGACGTGTGATGCGAACACTACAGTCTCTACGCTATCACTAAGCCAGGAGGCATTCTGCGTGCTGCGATCTCTCTCTCTCTCTCTTGTTCCCTTCTGTTTTTATCTCTCTCTTACTCTCTCCCTTTCCCTTTACCGTCACTGTACTACCTTCTTCTCACGGGTTCTCATACTCTCCCTTTCTCTCTCTTATTCAGGGTGGGGCACGATCCCGTCGTCCAGCACAGAAGGATACCCCGGTCGATAGCACGCACCTACACCACCCATCCTTGCCGCCACCACCACCACCACCACCACCCACAGTATAGCAACCAGTGCCAGAAGGAATACCCGGTGAAAACGCACACGCACGCGCTCACGGATATACCCACTACCATCAGTCTCACGCACCACCACGCACTCGCGTCCTGGACCCGCCCGACATCCACGGAGCCTACTACCACTACCCCCTGAGTACCCATACGCCAAAGACCCAGAAATTTTGCTCCTCCCGATTTCCCAGGGTATCAAACCAGCCTCTTTGCCGCCACCACCTACTTCGGGCATCCTCAGATCATCTACTTCCTTTGGCTTCTGCTTTCTGCACCTGAAGCTTGGTTCACCTTCATTTTTCCCGGGGGTTGAGACACATGGGATAAAATCTACTTTATTCGAAGGGATCAGTCGTATTGTCAGACTGTAAAATAATTTTACGTTGCCCCGTGTCCTGATGTCTATTTACAGTTAGACGTTTAATTCCGTGATACAACTTTAGCAGGACATATACAATTGTATATTCGATTCGAGTTTCGTACTGTATTCCTGCACTTTTAATATTCTGGGTTATCGATCTCCCGTATTCGATTAGGTATTTATGTCTCTTTGTAAATAGTACGTATGTCCCATAGTTCCATGAGTTATTTAAGGATGTAATGTTGGTCAGGCTAATATAGGTAATTTATTAATTTTTCAAATGAAATATGAACTTTATTATTCTGGAGCGCTTGGCCAACCACTTTCTTCTAGGTTTGTACTTTTCACAGTGTACAGTGTACACTTCTTCAGCCGTAAGTTATTCGTCCTTAAGTGTTTACCGCAACCCGGGTGGTAACTCGTGTCTAAAGAGTAACAAAAGGGGCTGGTTGAAAAGGGTAGTCAAGACCCCGGCTCCACGCATTTCCCGTCTCTGTGCACTTTGGTTAAATGAAAAATTCTACTTCCCATTAATCCCGCTATGCGAATCGAGCGCCACTTGTATGCCCGGCAGAACATCGAAATGCAACGAGCTCTCGTCTGTCTTAAAACGTAACCAAACGAATCCAGCGAAGAATTTTAAGTATGGCATACCTACCGCAGCTTAGGTACAATCAGTCAAACGCAATTCGAGCTTCCGGCGCGACAGGTAAATGAAGGAGACGTATGGGGGATGGTATACGAAAGGATCCTATTGTGTCTTGGACTTCAATAACATCCAGACACTTGATAATATCTGTAGGTTATCTCGATACTGTATCCCGTTATCAAGGCTGACTATGATAACTCGACAGTATCCAGGCAAATTCTTGATGTAGTTTATTAATCTTATTAGTCACTTTTTTTCCTATTTGCACAGTATCCCTGTTTACGAAAAAATTTGAGGATGGAGATAAAATAACATTATGCCAAAAATAACTGATCTAGATTATACAGACTGTATGGATCGCTTATTAAAGAAATTCAATGTCATAATTTAATATCTATGAAAATTTAAATTGAGTATAGCGGTTATCTGACACTTTCAATTTCCTATTTCCCGCCATGCGCGACAGTCTATGCGCGCTAACTTAAGTCTTGCGGAGCTATCGTTTTATGGCGCGATATTTGAAATTATTTAATCGAGTGTATTTTATTTGAATGCGACATTCTTGGATCGTCCGGCAAGATAATCAAATCGATATGTCAAAAATTGAGGTTATGCAACCTTCCAGAAGTTACCTTCCATTCTGCAAAGTAATTTATCGATACTCGAGGACTTTTACGTCAATAAATTACGCTGTGACAAGAAGTTGCTGTTGATTAAAATACATATACATGTATATATATAAATGAATAAAGCGATAACCGTTATCAGAGTTAATATTTGACTCAGCAATGATTTTATATTAACTTCATTAATATATATCATTAAATCTATCGCTTATGATAGATACTATCTAATATATTATCTAGCACATTATATAAACGACAATTGAATAAAGTCGAGCAATTTTTTTTTCACGATTGTCAAAATTAAAATCGAATCGCAAAAATTCAATGAAATTTCATCAAAGAAAACGTACTGAGCGTTTATTTATCTACTCTGCTAGCAGCTCACATAGAAATTCTTCAAACGTAATTATGATTTATATATATAATTAAATCTATCGCTTATGATAGATACTATCTAATATATCATCTAGCACATTATATAAACGACAATTGAATGAAGTCGAGAAATTTTTTTTTCACGATTGTCAAAATTAAAATCGAATCGCAAAAATTCAATGAAATTTCATCAAAGAAAACGTACTGAGCGTTTATTTATCTACTCTGCTAGCAGCTCACATAGAAACTCTTCAATCGTAATTATGATAAGGGGGGGCCATGACGTAAGCAACCTGAAAAAGCAGGCAACTCGTTTGGTTTTTCAAGTGTCGACATCTGTGGGCAACTATGCTCGATCTCGTCTTGTATACGTCATGGTCCGTAGGGTCTTTAATAATAATAACGGCATTAAATAGCAGACTATAGGAAAAGAAAAAAAAATGTGGCAAATCAAAATAATAATAATAAAAATCAAAACCTTCGCGAGGATAACTCATTGAATTTTCTAACGAAATTGATCAACTTTTTAGTCGGACATAAAAATTTGTTCAATGACTCACTGCGACCTCGAAGAAATGAGACAAGATCGTTCTTGGAACGTAAAATGCAGGAAGTGACAAATGAATTCCGCTTTCCAGGAACGTGTATTACTTGGGTACGTTGTACGTGGGAATTGAGAAATTTGACTAGTAGTAGTGAGGAAAAAGGTCGTACGACGTGTTTCGAAAATTTTGTTAAAAATAAATATATATATATATATATATATATATATACCCATACGTAGAGCGTGCAAAAAAGACGGAAGTCAATAATGACGTCAGCTGATTCACCGGACGTAGCGAAATTTCGTTCATCACGGCGATAGTCACGCTCTATTAATTCGACGTAGCAATCCTGTCGAATTAAGTAAATTTCCGACTCGTGGGACGTGCAGAAGCGCTAATAGGAACGCAAAATGTCGTGGAAGATAGGCGGTTGAGAAATGACGGTCGTTTATTCGAATGCTTTAGTGCATCGGTGAGTACGAGGTTAATTCATTAAGCCCGGGACACATGGTAAAATGAATTCTATACGGGAATCTGGAAATATGTATGCGGTAAATAAAAAGATTTTTTTACATATACCACTGTCCGTAGGCAATTGCAATGGGGACTGACTTCAAGTTGCATCTAATTTGGTGAGTCTAAAAATAACGCGACGGTGGCTTCTCTCCGGTGTATTTATCCTTGGCGTAACTTTGACCGTTGACACGATGATCTTGGCGCCGAGCCTGCATCACTGAAATCCGCACGTTCCTTGCCAAAGCGTGAGAAAACGAGGTAAATTGGAAACATTGCCAGCTGCCGAGTCAGAAAATCCCGCATTTCTGCATAATCTTTTTTACTCGAATACGTCGCTTATTAATACAAATGCCTGCACTACGTGATGGGTAATGAAAAACGAAGACGCATTGAATCTTCTTGATACGAAGTACAGCTGCTTTACCAGCTGTTAGCAAGTAATTTGAATGAAAGATGAGAACCTATTTTTTCTTTATTATACACAAGAAGGGAATACCCATAGGAATTTAAAACTTTCCGCTGGTACAGTCACGCGGAATGCTGTCATCTGTGTGCACGAGTGACCGCGAGACTGACTCTGATGAAGCATAACTTTTTTTTCGTTAATCAAGGTAACCAACGGAATTTCTAAACGAAGGTTACCCCGCCGATCAACGAAGCGTGAATATACCTTTTTACGATAACATAACGCTACGTAACATTGTCAGAGTACAGATTACCTTTTGAGTTTTAAATTTTCTACGAGTCATGGTACAGGAATTCGTATTACGTAATAAAAGAAATCAATTGTCATCCGATTCGGTATAATTTACTCAACCCATTTTCGTGTACAAGTGATTTACAAATATCAGCATTCACGAATTTATTTTAAATCTTGCTGCTACATAAAGTAACCGAAACTTCACGTGTATTATTCCTCGTCTTTAATCAAAGAACATAATATATTTTTTTAATGTTCCTTCGAACACTCCAATGTAGATAACACAGGTATTCCGCTAGAGGTATACCGGTACCGCAGAGCGTTGCGCCATCTCTGAACAGCCAGGTGAACATACGTCACGTTCACCCATAAGTTCCGATTTAACGCGACGCGCAAGACCTGCAACGTTGTCGGGCGACAATGGGCAGAATGCGAATACGCGGAGCGCGATTATTTGGCCGCGTTTCAAAAATCATTGGATTTGAGCACAGGTACCTGTTAAGTACCTAGTAAATAGTAATTAGTATACAATGCACAGGCATAGGCAGCACTTCAAGTCAATCATGTAGCGTTGTCTCCTGATACGACTAGCACGCGACGTGACATACTCAAGAAGACAGTATTGCATAGAGTATACATTGAAGTGTTACGTCAGTAAATGCAAAAGGAAAGAACAAGAGGATCACCCGTGTTATTCTGGCAGTTGGCAATGTTCAAACAAGACTTTAACCACGTAGTGCACAGATCCTCTCGCAACAGTTCTGGCGCGATTCTCGTGAATCCGTGACGTTATTGCGCAAGCAGAAAATGGTAATTACGTAACGATCTCCGGTGTTTCGAGGGTTCCTAAACCGTAGCAGCCAGGACGACCACAACAAAATATTCTAAATCCGTCGTGGGCAATGAGGTGCTAGACTCCGAGGAGGCTAGTGAGGAACGAAGAAAAAGAAGAGGTAGAAGGGAGACACTAAAAAACCCTAGAAGATGCCCCGGCTCAACCGTCCCAGCGATTTATAATTAGTACAGCCAACGCTTTCTGATCTATAGATCGTACAAGAATCGAGCGCTATTTTCTACCATAAAGCCGCAGTGTAAGTCAGCTTGAACATATCAAAATGGCCGACTGTAAGGCAATCGAAAGATGATTAAACGCGCGTGCACTCATTACGCGTTCCTCTGTTGCAGGCTGCTACGTTTGACCTGCTGTGCAGAAAAGGCTGTGACGCTAAGGTCAGAAACTGGATCGTTTGAACGTCATTGTAGCGTTATGAAGCCTTTATATAAATTATTCGAGCTACACTTGCATATGACGCTCATTTTAGAACAGCATTGGTACCACGTGCAAACTCGCACGGAATTCTTCGACCAATAAGAAAATCGATCGGCCATAGGTATACTATCATTATAGACCTGACTTTTAATACGAGAATACGACAGTCACTTGGTAGTGACTATAGAACATAACTTCATAGAGTATTATTACTCCGTCTCAAAGACATCGACCTTAATCCACAGTCAAGCTGATCAATTATGACTGAAGTTTTAAAATGGCTGGCGCCTCTGTCGAAATTTGCGATGAAAGTATCGCCGGAAGATTTACAAAAGCAAGAGGGAAAAAATAGACATTTTTTACCGTAAATAAAATAGACACTAGAGTTCATGACTATGGTGTTTAAGAACTTTGACAATCGATTGGAATCGATATAACATTCTTGGTATACTAATGACTCATTTCTTCTATACAGGCAAAAAGATGGCGACGACAAATCATTAATCACTTGATAAGTTTCCTTGCTCGTATATCGAGAGCCTCTTCAAAGCGATGACTGCTTTTACCATTGGAGCTTATAATGTTTTCATTACAAACACGGCAAGAGCTTTCGCTGGAGGCTACGTTTAGAGAAGAAGAGGACTGACGAAAACATTCGCAAGCAGGGGTCAAAAGGTGATCGCTCTTTGCTCTGCTGAAATTGTTTAATTATTTATAATCATAAGATGTAGGTATCTCGGAGATACGTTCAATGACTGTCTACTAATCGAATACAAAGTGGGAGTTTAACGATTAGTCATCGATCAGGTATTCTTGTGCTTACGCCTAGTCTAAATGTCTGGGTTCCCGTCTGCCTCCGGATTAGATTAGAAGAACAGTTAGAGAGCCTTGCGATTCGGCTAACGAGCCGAGGAAACCACGGGGAGTTCAAAGATCTTTCTCTGTCCTAGACAAAAATAGATGGCGCAACGTGCGAGCTTTCGTGCGAGAGGGGCAAAGAGCTAAGTCGCTAATGGGAGTTGACAAGATTAATAGTACGAGGCTGCATTTCTACGTGCGTTCAAACTACATTCCAGACGGCTCGGGAGAGACGGGGTTGCAACGTGTGAAAATGTACCTTGGGTTATAAACCATAGTCAATTTTTGTTCAATGGTCAGGGTATTTTCGTTCGATTATTCATCTTGCCTATTGCATGCTTAAGGGAGGGGATGATTTATGTCGTTAACGATTATCTTAATTAGCGATTGCGAACGGCCAATTGTTATGCAATCGCGTGATAACTGTATGGTAAAATAATTACAGGGTCGGGTAATTTAATTAGTGAATCAAATAGACTGTCTGCTTCGCCTGGATTATTAGCTGCAGGTATTATCGACTCTTCCAAGATCGATACACCTTGGTGGAAGAGTTAGCAGCTCGTGAGGATGGAGAAGCCACGATAACGCGAAATCTATATATTTCTTTTAATTTTTCTAAATAAAATTCAACTTTTTCAATACCATGAATATAAAAATAGTAATATTTTTACTTTTTCCATATTAAGTATCCATCTATATCGCCATAACAGTCTCTCTACTTGTTTGTAATAGAGTCTATCCATGAGTTTAATGTTTTTTTTTTGGACACTCGTCAAACAATGTAATTATACGTAAATCACGTATCTTCGTAAAATCATGGAAATATTCGGTAACATATAGCCAAACAAAATGTAATTTAAAAACCACGCACGTGCATACTTTGTAAGAATTTTAGAGTGTTACATATAGCTCTTTAGAAACTTCATTTTTTATTCATAAAACAAAAACATTTAACTAGTGGACCAGCTGTGTAATAATATTACCATTAAACCCCGTTATAAAGCAGAAGAAATTGTGCAATACCGGAAATAAATGCAAGAATGTATCATCCCTTGTTGAGAAAAGTGGAGAAAAAAAAAGAGCAGAAACCGTTGAGTTTGAAATTAAAAATAGCCGGGCTGTGAATTGTCACATAGAAAACGGAAGTTGACGAAATAAAATAAAAATCAGTCGGTAATAATCCGATAGTAAGTATCCATACACGTATTACGTACTGGTAACCTTATATGTTTTTTCTATGTTGAATATATACATAGAGAAACCACCGAGTCGGACGCTGTTCTAACTATCAATTTCCGTTTTGAATTACCGAATGCATAATGCATGTGTACGCCGCTCATACGAATCTCCGGTCGAGTCTGGAGCAAGCCGGAGTCTCTCCTGTTGGATCATAGGAAAATCAGAATGGCCAATAAGGAAGGTATAGTGGCAACAATGCTGATAACCGGAGGTAAAGTTACAATACAAAAATCCCGTTGAGACATTGGAAGCAGAGTGAAAGAAAGAAAAAGAAATGGATCTGCAGTTAAAATTTGCAGTTAAAAACTAGAGCGTTGTCCTTGGGAAGATATAACGGGATGGTGGAATTAATCGATCGAGAGTCAGGCAAACTAGCCGGGACTGCTGCAACTGGATAAGCTGAAAATCTCGGTCAGACTGTCGTTGAAGGTTAGTTTGGTAGAATCGAATAAACCCCAAGGTTAGTTTTCGCTATCGAATTATGAAATAAATGTCTGACAATGTAGCCACAATGTAAAAGGATACATGAACTTCGAACGTTAAAACCGTAATGACAGTAAGAAAAATTCTTTAAGATTTTAAGGTTGAGAACCGTCAACTATGCGGGCATCCCTGGCCCTTACGTAACTCGGGGCTGCACCCATTTTCGTGTGTTACTATCTATACTTTTGCGAGAACGAGTCGTCGATACACTCTTTCGACAGAATCGATTTGACGATAACGATTTTTGTATTTGAGAATTCGCACAGACATTTATCCTGGTTGAGAATCACCAAAGCATTGTACACGCACCGGAACGACCTCGACCGTTATTTCAAATTTGTCAAAAGTATTCGAACGTTTCGACAAAATGGATTAACTCGAGGGATTTCTTTACGACGTTCCGCGTATAATCGTTAAGAGATCTTTGGGTTTTCTTATCAGCGTGATATCAGTGAAGCTCCACGTACTTTCAAGTGACAGTTGGCGTGAGAAATTCATCTTTCCAACGTCAATTTCTAATTTCTATTTCGCCTGCTCATTTCTCAACGGAACTGTCAAAATAAACCAGTAGAGGACTACGACCCATAGTCACAGGTATCGATTGACCATGTCGCTGCTACTAATCAAATAAATTCTAGCATACTACCAGGTAACCTAACCAAACTTTTAATTCAACGTAAGTATAATTAACTGTCAAAGAAACGAAGATACCAGGCACTGTGACTGGCTATTCGTGCTATAACTTGCTTATTTCAACTAACGGAATTTTCTTAAACTGTCTACATTGAAACAAAACCTCAACGATCGTTACTCTTTACTCCATAATTAAAAGGTAAAACAAAATTCCGTAAAAATATCTAAAAATACACAATCACTGTCTCTAACAGAGTCCTACAGACCGTCCAAGAGACTCTCACTGTTTGTTGTACAAAAAGCAGGGGAAAAAACTACCAAAATTCACTCCGATCTTTATCCAGACTTCCTAACAACGATACACGAGATTGACGACGAAGGAACAAGAGGGTCAAACAGTTCCGATTATAAATGAGTATTTGACTTACCTCTGAGTACACGGGAGTATCGGAAGATATCGCTCTGAAGCACGTCGAACGAATACGTGAGGCAGGAACGAAGTGGCGCGGTCTTGGCTCTACACTCTGGGCTCTGCTTCGCGACGGGTAGCCCTGTGCCCCCACCCCATAGGGTACCATTAGGCTGACATGAGAATCATCCCCACTCTGGTAACGCTCGATCTCCCCACCTTGGCAAAATGCACCCTTCCACTAAACACCTCCCCCACTTGGGAGACTTTTCCGATTTGCTGATCACCACCTGGACGTCTCAAACGAACCACTGAACTCGGCTGTTGTATTACGTCATGATTGCTTAGAAATTTCTCCCACGCATGATAATGCGTGGGTGCATCCTCATATGTGACTGACAGGACCAAAGACATTACAGGATGTTACAAGTAGAGATGATTGTTTGATTTGAAAAAAATCCTCGTTTCAATTTCGCCTGGACGCTTTTTCTGGATGCTGGGAGTGAATTTATAACAATTTGAATTAAAAAACTGAAGGACTTCCAAATTGTAGGAATAACAATAATTGATATCGTTGATGTGCTGTAATTGACGGTAAACTGCCTTGAATTAATCGCATTTTATCAATTTACAGGTCATATTTTATTTTATTTGAAAATAACAGTAATGATCCTCAGGTGTGCTTGTCTAATTCCATTTGAACTTCGTTGGCAACCTTCTGAAAAACAGTTGGATATTTTTGAATGTTATACCAAAGCTCTGCCAAATTTGTGATTTATATTAGCTGTTCCAACTACTGACCAGCTACACGTGGATAATCCTAATCTTCTCAAGCGCAGCAAGCCAATTGGCTCGTCTTACCTGTACAAGTTCAATTAACAAAAAAAAGTGCTCATCAGTATTTCAAGAGTACCAGCACATGCAGCTGACACGAACAACCTCATCAGATCCAGCTTACTACCGGTATCAAAATCATTAAGTCAAACAACCTTAAATCTCTAATAAAACTTTTTAATTCAAAAGGTATATTTATATATAAAATCATTTTAAAAGAATATTACATGCCGCAAATTAATCACTGCATGATATTCCGAGCAAAGTATCCACGTACACTCTTATACGATTACCTAATAACCACAGCCAGAAGGACGCAGACGTATTTTCCGGGGAATGGCGGAATTCCGGGAGGTGTAGGCTGTTACGAAATCAGCTGTGCGCCGGTCACGTTGTTGTAGGTCATGCTAGGACTTACCTCGCCTTCATTCCCAGCATCGTGGCCTCTGTTGATGTCGAGGGGTAGGAAGAGGCAAAGGGGAGTGAGAGGGGGTGGTGGT